CTCTGGCACGGTCCTAGGGTTCTGAATTTCGAAGCCTCTTTCAGGGGGCCTAGAATGCGGCTAGAAGAATCCGACATCGCCTGAGGAATGTCAGCTGCTGGATGAGTTCATCGAGAAGGTTCAAGCCGAAACTTGCCTCAAAGAATCGTGCCAACAGTTTCTATATAAGTACGTATACATCAATATAGTTAATATCACCTAGTATACCATATGATAACCTACTATGAGGTAAAATTACTACACAGAACATACCCCCCAAACCTTATTCATGCCCTCAAACAGGGCTCGACACCCAAGAGTTACCTAGACAGTGGAGAATGATAGTCGAGCAAGAACTTCTCACCAACACTTGCCAAGTCTTGTATTTGCGCGGACGTCTGCCAGTCAGAGTCTGTCAAGCCTTTTTGCCCCGTAAGTATGGAGAGAGCTTGCTACGCCCGTGGGTCACCCTATAAGCTCTGGTGTAAGGAGATTTCTTTGAAGCTTCACCCACCCAGCCTGCTCGTGGAAACTTAGAGGGTGCGAGTCTGGGTTTGGAGATATTGTGCGTGGAGAGACAGCGGACGACACGTCCTTCGATCATGCACGTTCGGTCATTCATGGTGACACTCCACCCTGACACTCTCCGATGCCCCAATGCCAGCCGCACTTCCCGAGACCCCAAGTGCTGTGACTACTTGAACTCAAGTTTTGCACCTATAGAGCTGAGAGGTTGCCGGGGTCATGTCCGAAGTTCAGAGTGCCGAATCGTTGTTTTCTGGCTGGCGGCAAGCCTGCTTGATCGTGGCCTCCTTCCTCGTGCAGGTGGTTGTCATGGGACTGTTCTACTCCTATGGCACGATCTTTGCTGCACTGAAGGCAGACACGGGCGATGCAGCCAGCACCCTTGCACTTGTGGGGTCGATTCGGGACTTCGCGTTCCAATTAAGCACTGCGCCAGCTGGATTCCTGGTCCATCGTGTCGGCTTCGTGCGGATGGCTGCCATTGGGACAGGTTTACTTCTGTTTGGCATGCTTGCAGACAGCTACGCCCCATCCAGCAATTTCCTGTTCATGAACTGTGGATTGGTCGGCGGGGCCATGGCCATGATCTTCACCGCATCTGTGTCCGTCCTTTATGGTCCAGGCCACATCAGTCCGAGCTTTCTGCCTGTGGCTGTGGGTCTGGCTTCGTCCGGTGGAGGCCTAGGAACTGTCGTGGTTAGCCTGAGCCTCAACCTACTGCTGGACAGCTTCAGCTGGAGGGGTGCGCTTCGGATTTGCTGCGGGGCTTTTGGCCTGCTGCTGTTTGTTTCCCTGGTGGCTCTGTGGTTCAGTCTTCGCCACCACAAGCAGACCAAAGAATCCACCACCAACTGCCGAGAGTTGAAAAGCCACGGCGATGTCCGAGAGTTCTTACAGCCTTTCAGAGACTTGCAATTCTTGCTGCTCAACGCCGCTTTGTTACTTTATGGCATTGGCTTCATGGTGCCCTACACGCACCTCGTGTACTATGCTGAAACAGAGAGGGGCCTGGAAATCTCAGGAGAGCTAACTTCACTTCTTGGTTTTTCAGGTGCAGCTGCTCGTCTTTGCTTCGGCCTTTTCTCTACATGCGTGAAGCCTTCGAGGCTTTTGCTAGTCGTGCTGCTCGCGCAGGGAACATCCTTAATCTGTCTGCCCTTCTGCGACGATGCCGCAGAACTGAGGGCCTTCTCTGCCATTTATGGCTTCTCGTCCGGAGGCCGTGTTGTTCTGTTGTCGCTGGTAGTGAACGAGCTTTTCGACTCACAGAGAGTAGCACACCTCTATGGACTTGCTGGCATTCCGTTGCTTGGCGTTGCTTCAGAAGGCTTTGAAAGTATACTTTGCGAAGGCTAAACACATCTTCAAGCCGCTTGCTTGAAAGTGCATGCATAGCCAAAACATGCAGACACAGATATGTGTATGTATGTTTATACACATATGTAGTCTTGGCTCGAGAAGAGCCTGGAACGTCTTCGCTGCTGCCCTAAACCTCGCCTGACCTGGTCGAGTGCGA